GGTTAGCGCACCTCGAGCTCTGGAAAGACAGTCACAAGCTTGAGGCAAGAGACACAAACAAAGCTAGCACATGCAGGACTTGAGAAAAGATGATTACATTCACATCACAAGCCCACCTCGCAAAATAAAGCACATGAGTTTGCATCAGCACTCTGAAACAGTCCCCAATCACCGATCCTGTCAATGGACCGAGTCGTCGCAGGTCACGGAAGTGTTTTGCAGCAACCCATACTGAAAGGCACATTGCGAGGACCTCCCAGACAGTGTCGAGCATCCAAACCATTGAGTTCAAAAGCTGGTCGTCACCTCCAAATCCATAATCACACATATATGTGCCAGAGAGTATCAACTCCTCTGGTATATGTCCAATGAGCTGTGTTCTTTCAGTCAACAGGTAAAGCTTACCCACTACATTATGCATGAGGTCTATTGCCACGATGACTCTGCAGGTGATGTTGACAGCCAGGAAGATAATAGAAAAAAAGATAAGCATCACTCTAGATCCCTGATACATGGCATGCAACCGAGCAATCATAATGACTTGCATCAGGTTTCAGTCAAGTCAATGTCAATTAGGTATTGCAGCTGCATAACTCGCCACCCAACATGGCAGTCACAATCACAGTTGTCCCATTCAATGCATAGCCCATAATATTACCTGAAACACCCAATTAGTGAACACCCTCGTACTAGTATTGAACGCTCGGACTTACACCTATTGACTCATTATGTCAACTCAAGTTCATTAATGAGAATCTCACTCACCCCTACCAATGAGTGTATTAATTGGATGGGAACGAGATGGTTGCAGAATACTCACTGCATCTGTCAGAGAGATAAATGGTGTAAATTCTGCATACTGCTGGTCAGAAGAATTGAACATAGCATATGAGACTTACCCAGAATGTTTATGCTAATTGTCAGAGATGAGCAATTAGCAAATGCCAATCTGTTGGCATTGACACATACACAACAAATGGTATTCCAATATAGTGTATCTAGAACATTTTGGAGTCAACACAGCTGTCAACCATGCTATGGTACAACACGAGGTACAAACACTCAAATACAGCACAGTCATGAGAGACCAGTGTTGTCTCTGCCGCAAATTCATTGTAGTCTCCTGTTTTTATTCTTAAATGAGACTCTTGTCACTCACCCAGATCAGTTCAACCTATGATACTGTTCTTAGTTAGTTGGCTGCTCCAGCAAAAGCACCTACCTCTTGTCCAAGTATTAAGACTGGAAATATCAAAAATATCAGTGATTTCCAACACTGTGATGGTCATGCTCACCCCAATCATATACCACAATGATGGCAGCAGCAACTGCAAAATGGAAGTCAATGGTAGATTGAGGTAGAGTCTTGATCCGACGAACCCATCCAATAACTTATGACAATATTTGAATCGATTAGCGGCCACCAACTGCGATCATTTGAGACTAAAGACATATTCGAGGGATGGGTGTGTGACTAAGTGAGGAATGTTAGTGGTGTATAATGATAGTGTTCGCAAAAATCTGGATCTGATTGAGATGTGCCCCAATGTTTGGCTGAAATTTTAAAAAATCACTTAGGGCTGAGCAGCTGCAGTTCGTTTCTCAGTTTGTTCCGCAGTTTGGGTACTCAAAATAACTTTCAAAACCTTTTGGAAACTCGCTTAGACGCCAGCTATTAATGGTGCTACCGTGGTTCGGTCCAGTGAGCAACGGCTAGAGCGACTATGACAATTTTTAGATATACACACGTGCATCATAATCGCTCTAGAGTATTAGTAGCCGTCTCACCCAGCAACCCCCCAAACCGTGCATCAATATGCATTCAGGATACTTGTGATCTGCCAAGACAGGAAGTCCATGAATTTTTCTCCTATCCACACATCGTCTGTCTGAGTACAAAGCAACGATACCAAGATTAGTCGTTGTGCAGATGCTACAACGAACATGTGGCTGAGATAGATCAATGACGATCGTCTGTGTGTCATGCAAAGTTCGACGATATTGAATGTGATAAGTTTTAAGAAGAGACTGACGGCTCGAATATATCACGAACACGTGAGGTAAGAACATCAAGCATGGTAAGTGGAGAGTAAAGCAGAAAGTAGGGGCTTCAAGTCGAAAGGCATAAAGCGCACCTGCAAAAGTATCGGTGAGATGCAGATCATGAAATTTTAGGACTGTGGAATACATACTTTGATCAGGATAGCGCATCATTGTAGATCATGCACCAGATGTATATTAGGACCCTTGCAACAACCTGTTTCGATCCTGCCCAGTAGCACGTCTGTCAGAGTAAAGCACCGAATGAGATGCATACATACATAAAACACACCTCAGAGTTGCACTAGAGCGAAGAATTGATTACTTGAAAGTATACGCTTCACTTCAACAGGTCGTTATCTGCTCACCCAGGTGCTGCATGGGTAGTATGTTTGAGTTCAGACAGCTGATGGAGCAGAATTCCACACTTACTACCGTCTATCAGCTGTTTCATCACAAAAACCTGGAGGAGAAAAAGTGTGCACGATCTATAGAAGCTCAGGTGGCTTGTAACTGTCGCATCTATTGATTACCCATCTGGACTGCTCAGATTGGGCGCGATGCGAGGATCGCAGGGACCAGGGAATGTAGAAGGGCGTGACCGAGCTTACATAGCCGATAATCCGATAATCCAACTGGCTTGGATTATCATATGTCCGAGCACGACGTGATGAACGAAAACGAAGCAATAAATTACGATGATAGCAGAATCGTGCGTCAGGTAAGTATGGCCTGTCAAAATCTTACTAGTACCACGTCCATCAGTGTAAACTGTCCAGCAAAATTATAAAACACGTACACTCGTGAGAGTGGCGTTGGAGTTACGTGTCGCCGCAGTCCAGACATGAGCGGATATCTCAAAAGTAAACGAGGGCAACTTATGATCTGTTGGAGCAAAAAGAATGATCATGATTTGACATGACATTGAAGATTAGTCACCTGGACGAACAAACATGTTGAGGACAAATTTAAAACTCACCATGATCTGTCCGAGCACAAAAGAAGATGGGAAAAGTGTGGCCTTCAGGGCGGAATGTCCTGGGTATGGGGAAGACTGGATTTGGAGGATCTGTCGCAAGAGTAAGGGTTTAGTCTCATATATTACACTAGAAATACGTTTCAGCCTGTTGCTTGCAGACTACAAGCAGACTAGGGTAGAAGTTGGTTCATTTTCGACTCTCGGCAAATACCGATGGGCTTTCCGAGTCGTACTGTGTCATGTTCAAGTTTGCAAACACTAAATTATTATTGATCATGTCAAGTTCGTAAGTACTTGAGCGTCGACCATCCATGCCAATAATACTTGCCATGAAACTGGCCATACACTGTAGTGGAATAACTATTCCAAGGAAGTTCTTCCGGAAGAACTGGCAGAACTTCAGGCCTCAGTCTGAACCTGACATGTGCGAGAGTTCCGTCACATTTTGCCGGGGAGGTTCTGCCGTCTGATTGGCAGTACCAGTTCTACCTACAACAGCAGCAATAATACAGCAAATCGTATATATGCATACATTCGAAGACACATCCGCGTGAGAGTAGGTCCAGAAAACGATATAAAAGCCAGTCATCTTCCTATGATCCCCTTAAAGCTTTAGAATTACCTGATTCCACACGCACGAGTCGCAAACAATGCGTTTCTCCTCTGCAACTGTCCTCCCCATCATTGCTGCTTTAATATCATCAACATCTGCCATGCCAACTACTAGTGATGCAGCTAGCCCTTTCGGACATAAATGTGTCAAATATTGCTCAACTGACGCTGATTGCACACCAACTGCATAATGCGAATGGAGGGTATGCGTGAGTATCAGCATTTTCTGGACCTGATAACATGACTCACCTGCATGGCAGGGCTCTGCGGCTCACTGCCATGTAAGCCATATTGTTGCCTTCACATCATGGAGTTACTATGGCCGTTGACACTGACGCGCGAGGTACTGGTGATTTTTTTAGAAATGATCGACACATATAAGGGGGAAAAATCGATCCATGCTTACAGCTCTTTGCATATCGGGATTGGCGTAAAATTTCTGGGAAAGATGGGAGATGGTTTCAGATCAGCGTCAAATTGTTATGTACGAAAAATTCGTTTCATATGAAGTTAAGCGTGCAAAGACATGTCTCCTGGCAGATAATATGAGCTCAACCAGTCGCTTGAAGATATCTAGCTCTCTTGCTGCCCAGATGAATCACGATATGAACATAGTAACAACCATGCATCCACTGACAATTAATGCCAGCATGGCTGTTGTCGTAGACTTGAACACGTTGTACACCAGTGCGATTGAGAAGTAAATCATCTTTGTGAGAGGAAAGGTGATTGATTGTCATTAGCCCTAGTCAGAAAGTATCCATCTCACCCACCTCCATATGAGCATCGCGTAGGGGAGGCTGTTAATTGTCGCAAGGCCTTTATCCCCCCAAAACGTATCAGTCATACTGCACAGGAAGTCTTCCTGTGCTGACTGCTTAGAACGAGAGAAATGAGTACAAATGCGACGACCTACTGCGTTGTTCGCTGATTCATACCTTTGGTTTTGACGGACCAGCAGGACTGAGATCATTTGCTTGCCCTACGACCAACTGTGATCGATTATCTCAGATGTATGCATGTCTGTATCTCTGTGGCACGGATGGACGAGAATCATCTCAGACTAATCAACTTTCATGGCTCCTTGGTCGACTTGAATGAGGTGTCTGATAGAAGGTGGGAAACGGGCCTGAAAAACGTGGAAGATTCGAAGGTATTTTGCAGGCGCATTGAAGGGCAACGTGGTATCTGCTCGCCCATGTACTACATGAGTAGTATGTCCGAGTCCGGATAGCTGACAGAGCAAAATTCCACACTTGCTACCGTCTATCAGACATTTCAACACAAAGACCGACGGAGAAAGAAGTGCGCACGATTTATTGAAGCTCAAATGCTTGTCATTGTCGCATCTATTCATCTAGGCTGCTTGGATCGTAGGGATCAGGGAATGTAGAAATGGCGTGTCAGAGTTTAGATAGTTGTCAATTTGAGAATTCGACATATTAATCATTGTCTCGGATTATCGTTTGTCCGAGCACGAAGCATGAAGAATGACAAAGAACCAATAATTACAATGATTGCAAAATTGTGCGTTGGGTATGTATGGCCTGTCGAAGTCTTGCAAGTTAGAGCTTATCCTGGACGAAATTTTATAGAAAAAGGCCTACCTTTGAGCGCGAGAATAGATGATTCGTCGACCGATGGGCTGATCGTCCTCAGGTGGAGTGTAGATATGTCAAACGCGACGGCCAAAGTTCTTGGGGTGCAGACTCCCATATGTATAAGACTAGTATCGTAGATCAGCAATTCTGTAGGAACTTGAGTTCGTGAGTAGATAGAGATCCAACCACAGGTTAGTACTATCATCGTACCCATGATGCAGAAGTGGAGTTGAAGGTGAAGAAGGGTTAAGATGGGACACTCAAAGATATTTTGCAGGAACATCAGATGGTACAATGTCTTAGGCCGTTAGGGCGACCAATAAGGAACACAATTTGTTAGTGACCAGTGATATGTGATATACCAGAAGAATCAAGCCTATGCATGATGATCATGAGCAAAACGAAGTTCCGAGAGAGGCTATGATGTTGGTGATTACAATGATGGCGGTTGTCACCCTGTGGAAAATCTAGGTCAGCCTATCCTACTTAGTCAGTCGGCCACAGTATATGTAGAAAGAGAAAAAGTGGTTCCTTCTTGAAATACGGGCAGCGGATAAAGTCCAATCACGCACTGAATCAATCAAAACTTAGGAATTGGATGATGCTTGGAATGGACGCGCTAGATCAGGCTGAGTCAACTAGACCATGACAAATTGGAAGTTTTCGCAATATCAAAGATGATGCATACCAGTTGTCGAATGAATGATCATCACATTCGATACGCATTCATAAAAGACGAGATGGACGACAACACAAAGACACGAACGATGGCAGGACGATACGATCAGGCTTCCAGCACAGATTTAGTGTCGATTCCCATCTTAAATTCGCAAGCCCATCATGAAGTTCGAAGGCGCCCATGGGTGACTGACAGCCATAAGTTGCAGCTACTACTATGCGATCTTTTCTGACTCACCGACATGCATTAAAGTTTTAGCTGGTGGACACTAAACACATCGCGTGTGGTAGTGAGGTTTTGCTCCTCGGACTCGAGTCATATGCATACAGTGACTACGTTGGAGTAGAAATTTTCAGGGACCGCGCATTTGGGAGTCTCGACGAGTCCATGAGGTGGCTTGCGAGGGTACCATTGTATCTCTTGAGGTGATGGGGAGGGCCTTGCCATGAGAGGCAGATCTTAGAGATGAGTTTTCGTCCTATAATGAAACCAAGTCTCGGTGAGAACGGGGCCAAAGTGCTGCCAAGGGCACCATATCAAGGAATTCATTGATGACGATGTATGCTATGCAACGTGGAACAGTCAGGCTACGGTGCGACTTTCAGAGCATGCCCATGACATTACTGACCATGATGAAGGCCAGGACAAGTACTGTCGTTGGAAATGAGTTGCCAACATCGCCAACGACTGGAACTTTCCGGCGCCTCGTGTGTGTCATCACCAAAAGTCCGGCCCTCGGGCCAGGGAAGCCGAAGAGAGTGCACCTGCTTGTTTCTATCACGACCATGCTTTAACCTGTGTTAAATCAATGACTACATGATTTCATAGGGAACTCCTCTATCTCTGCAAGCTTGCAGAAAAATCACGTTGGAAATAAGTTGCCGACATCGCCATACTGCCGCGGTTTGCAAATCATTGATCATCAGAAGCATTATTTTTCTGCTTGGTTTCGCACCGCAATATTTGATACATTTTCATCATTCAGACTCTTGGCGCTGAACGCTGATTCTGGTATATCTAGCACGAACGCTATAGTACTTACACACCACCAGCATTCCCCATCCGCCCATATCCATTCTCGTTCTCAAATATGACCATAGTCTTAAACGATTCCAGTTGGTGGCCCATAATCAATTACAATATTTTGTTCAGCTATTGGATAGGCTCGTCACATCAAGATGTCTAGATCTAACATTAACTTGCACTTTCGCAGTTGCCGCAGGCTTCGTGGTAGTATACGATTGGGGTGAGCAGGACAGTGTTCAAACCGTTGATAAGTAGTCTCATGATATTTTCAGCACTCACACTTGGACAAGAGGTAGGTTAATGTCATCCCAAGAGCAGCCAATGTGCTAAGAATGATGTTATAGATTGAACTGATATGGGTAAGTGACAGAGTCCCCTATCGGGTGACAAGCAACAGAATACAATGAATTTGGGGCAGAGGCAACGCTGGTCTCTCATAACTGCGCTGTATCTGGTTGTTCGTACCTCACTTTGATGTGGTTGACAGTTGTGTTGACTCCAATATATTATAGACACGCTATATTGGAATATCATATTCTATGTATGTTATTGTGAGGCCAACACGGTGGTGCTGTACTAATAACCCATCTCTCATTATTAGTATCAATGTTCTGGGTATGTCTCGTATGCACCGTGTTTCATTTTTCTAACCCGCGACGCACAGACACCATGACAGTGGTCCCGCTGACAGATGCAGTGAGGATTCCGAGTCTGCAACATCCCATTCTCATCTAATGCCAGTGAATGCATTCATTTTTAGGGGTGAGTGAGATTCTGCCAGTAACAAACCTGGCTCAACATAGTGACACTATAGATGTAAGTCGGATTGTTGGCTACTAGCATGAAGGTGATCGCTCATTGGGTGTTTAAGGTTTTATCGTGTACTACGTACTATATGTGGCAATCGTGGTGGTAGCTACCATGTTGTGCAGTGAGCGACCCAGTTGCAATACCTCAGTGATATTGACCCGAGTGAAACGTGATGTAAGTCATCATGATTGTACGGTTATATGCCATGTACCAGAGATCTAGGATGATGCTTATGTTCCTTGTTATTATGTTCCTGGCTGTAACCATCGCCAGTGGAGTAATCGCGGCAATGGTGTTCAAGGATTCTGTACTGGGTAAGCTTTACTTGTTGACTTAAAGGACACAGCTCATTAGACGGGCATCAGAGGAGGTGATACTCTCTGGCACGTATATGTGCCATTATGAATATATAGGCAATGTCAACCTTCTGCTTTCAATGCTTTGGATGCTCTACACCGTTTGGGAGGTCCTCGCACTGTGTCTTTCAGTCTGGATTGCTGGAAAACACTTCCGTGACCTGCGACGACTCGGCCAATCGACGGGATCGACCGTCAAGGACTGCTTCAGAGTGCTGATGCAATCTCACGTGCTTTATTTTGCGAGGTGAGTTTGTAATGTGAATGATCTACTTTTCTGCTCAAGTTTCGCACGTGCTAGCTTTTTTGTGGTTTCTTTCCTGCAGTATATCACTTACTCTCCACTGGCAGAGCTCGTGGTGCGCCGGCCTGTCGCCGAAACCTGCTTGTAACCGCTGCTAATCATTTATGTAGAATTTATATTCTATGGGATCTCAGATACTCAATGGTGCTGCTGAGATCTTATTTAGCGTGCAGGCGTTTGTGCTAGGACCGCGCTTGATCCTTAGCGTCCGAGAATATCATGCCAAACTCGTGGCTGAATCCGACGCAGAAACTAGCATGAATTCGATTGTCTTCGAGAATCGTGTACATGTATCAACTAGCAGTACCGTGTAGAGAAATGCTTACCGAGTGTTCTGCATGAAGGAGATATTGGCTGAGGATCTGTCATAGTATTTATTTTAGTTATGGTTTCTCCAAGTATATTTAGGACGAGGCGTATGTAGACAAATCCATTTCATCTCTTTTCGTGTCACCTCCGTGACTAGAAGTCGGGCCAACACTTGCATCAAGTCGCAAGCCAAAATTATCCACACGGAGAAGGAAAATGAATGAATCGCACAAACTCATCACTCGACTGGATACTCCTATCACAAATGAGCATGGCAAGAAGATGGGGTATGCTGAGTGGAGAGTATACAGTTAGAGAATGGGAGCCTCGATTCAGAAGGTTTCTAAGTAACATGTCAATCTCTTAATAGAGCCTCGATCACGATATTCTGAAATTTCATTCATACATACATTATTACAGTCATGCTATCGTAGGGTTGCGCGCATGCAACTGAAAACCACGTGTCGGGTCTGCGTCCTTGCAAGATCTGTTGGAGCCCATCCTGCTAAGCACAACCAAGTAAAGCATCGGTAAAGCACCGTACGAGATAAGTACATACATATAACCATCATTGAGACCGATCCTTGGCCAGCAGATGTTCAATTGATCATTTGAAGGACGATGTATTGCTTCATGTGATTATCTGCTGGCGTAGCGTGTCTAGCTGATAAACCAGAAATTCTGCGCGCGTGGAATACTTTGGAATCGTCCGTCTAAGGACATATGAGGAGAAGTGAGAGTAGTTGTACAAGGACAGATGACTGGTGATGCTATGGCCTTGCTAGAAAACATTCCTTCAAAACCATGGCGTCATCTGGACTGAGCGAATAGAAAGCGAGGGTAGCTAGAAATAGCGTGGAGCAATTCAGCCGGCTGATAGTCTGATAGTACAAGGGTTCCGCAGCATAACTCCCGAACTAGCATGTGTTTGAACGCGAAAATGAAGGGAGATGGTGATGTATTCGACAAGAACGTTAGAGTGTGTAGTTGATACAGATACACGCTCCCGGAAGACAATTGAATTCAGGCTGGTTTCTATGTCAGAGTCAGCCACGAGTGTAGCGTGATATTCCCGGACACTAAGGATGAGGCGTAGTCCCAGCACAAATATCTGCACGACAAATCGAATTTCAAGAGCACCATTAAGTATCTGATCTCCCATAGCATGTGACTTCTACAAGAAGTGATGAGCAGTAGTTACACGCAGATATTAGTGACAGGTCGGCACACCTCAAGCTCTGGAAATACGGACAAAAATTCTCAGCGCAGAAGAGAATAAAACAAGAGTGTGCAGCCAACAATTCATTATCCACGAGTTAGTCGTGGACTCTGAGACACGTACGTGCTCGTTGTGAATAAGATGTCATTGATGCCGAGCAGGCTGTCCAGAAAAACGAGGGTGGCTTTCACCGAGCGAACCTAAACTCATGAGTGAACGTTGATGTGAAACAAGAAAGATTTGAAAGACATACACAGTCATCTAGAATGATAAATGCAACATACTTGAGGTGTTTCGCTTCAGGAAGAAATACGAGCGCTGCACTAAGTTCTATAGGAAGCTTAAGTAGGTGAATATAGCGTCGAAGTCCGTGCACTTCTCAGGGTGCCATGGGATGCCTAATGGACGAGTTGCATCGAAGATGTCAAGAAGGTCGGAGAGATATTCGAAGGAAAAGGATAATCTGTCAGGGCCCACAATGCCTCCGGCTACGGGAGAGCGAGATATAGCGTGCTCATCTACCAATGTCTTGATAGGCAAGATGTCCATTGCATAGAGGATGTCGATCGGCTTGTTGGAAATGTGACCTTGGACGCCGCCAGCTGTGGTAAGACCGAAGGGAACGTTGTGATAAATCCTACAACGAGGAGCCTCTTAGGCTATGAGGTGGCCATCCAGGCAGTCAGTCTGTTGGAGAAGCGCAAGAAGGGCACACAACTCTGCGGTAAAAATACATACGAAGGAAAATAAGTATGAGGTATGAGCGTAGGTATTGTTCATGCAATGTGTGACGAACTGCCCATCTGTGATGTTTATTGTAGACCGGCCCTTGAGTCAAAGCTTCACACTGCATTAGCATTGTATTATATAATACGAATATGTACAAAACGGGATGGTGCTGCGCCGGGGTCATAACAACTTTGAGCACCTCTTTTTGAAAAATATATCCAAGTCTCACCGGTTTACTGATGCGCCGCAGGCGGCCACGACTCGGAATACTAGTATTCATCACTATCATGCGGATACAGGCGCTGCAACGTTGAACCTTAACGTTGAACAATGCGTATATCTACTAGCATGATTCATGAACACTACTAGATCATTATAACCATTGAACATTCCCCGTTCACTTACACCCATCCCTTGAATATGACCCTGATCTCAAATGATCCAAGTTGGTGGCCGATAATCGATTTTAATATTTTTAGCAGCTATTGGATGAGTTCGTCTTATTAGTCGATGATGTCTCGATCTAATAGTGACTTACGGTTTCGCAGTTGCCGCAGGCCTCGTATTGGTATACGATTGGGGTATGAAGAACAGTCTTCTAACAACGAAAACCGCTGATATTCTTATGATATTTTTAGTGCTAACACTCGAACAAGAGGTAGGTCGGTGCTGTTGCCAGGATAGCCAACTCGCTAAGAATGGACCCTGTCATAGATTGAGCTAATCTGGGTAAGTGACAGAGTCGCATATCGGAATAAAAACACTGAATTCACGATAGAGGCAACGCTGGTCTCTCATGACTGTGCTGTACCTCGTTGTTCGTATTCCATCTTACACTATGGGGTGATTGGCGGTTGTGCTGACTCAAAAATGTTCTAGATACGCTATATTGGACCACCGTATTCTGTGTATGTTTTGAAGGCCATCACATTGGCGCTGTGCTAATAATCCACCTCTCATCAACAGTATCAGCATTCTTCATATGTCTTTGATGCACTGTATTCGATTCTTCTGACTGGCTGCACACTGGCAGAATACATGCCAATGCTCTCGCTGACAGATGCAGTGAGTATTCCGCAACCATGTCATTCCCATCCAATGAAGACACTTATTTGTAGGGGCGAGTGACTTGAAATTCTGACCATTGAACTTGGCTCAACATAACGATTCAATAGATGTGAGTCCGAGTGTTTGATTCTAGTACGAGGGTGATCGCTAATTAGGTGTTTCAGGCACTATGACGAACTGCGCGCTGAATGGGACAAATGTAATCGTGCCTGCTATGCTGGGTGGTGAGTTACCCAGCTGCAATATTTCAGCGACATAGATTCTACTGAAACATGGTGCAAGTCATCATGATTGCTCGGTTGCATGCCATGTATCAGGGATCTAGAATGATGCTTATCTTCCTTGTTATGATCTTCCTTACTGTAAACATTGCCTGCGGAGTACTCATCACAATAGCACTCAAGTACCATATTGTAGCGGGTAAGTTTCACTTGCTGACTTGAAGAACCCAGCTCATTGGACGAATACCAGAGGAACTGATACTCTCTGGCATATATATGTGCAACTACGGGCTTGAGGGAGACTTAGCGCTTCTGATTTCGATGCTTTGGATGCTCAACACGGTTTGGGAGGTCCTGGCACTGTCTCTTTCAGTCTGGATTGCTGTGAAGCATTTCCGTGACCTGAGACGACTCAGCCCATCGACAGGATCGACCATCAGGGACTGTTTCATAGTACTGATAAAATCACACGTGCTTTATTTTGCAAGGTGAGCTTGTGATGTGAATATGGTTATCTTTTTCTGCTCACGTTCCGCACGTATCAGCTTTGCTTGTGTCTCTTGCCTCAAGCTTGCTTTTGTCTCGCCAGGGATAGCCGTGGTACGCCAAGCTGTCGCTGGGATTTGCTTGTAACAATCGCTCATTATTTTTGTAGAATCTATATTCTAAAGATGCTATAATACTCTATAGTACTTCCCAGATTTTATTTGGCGTGCAGATGTTTGTGCTAGGACCACGCCTCATCCTTAGCGTTCGACAATATCACGCTAAACCCGTGGCCGAATCCGATGCAGAAACTGGCATGGATTCGATTGTCTTCGAGCAGCGTGTACATGTACCAACTAGCAGTACCGTATAGGGCAATGCTTGCCGAGAAATTATTGAAACTGTATGTTACATGTCCGTATTTAGTTCTCAATTTTCCACAAAACAATGTGTTGAATATGTACGGTTGAGTATGTATGGTCAAGCCATGGAATATCAAAAAGTTACTGTGACGAGAGACCCACATGTACGAGATATGCAACACAGTGGGAGATTGCATGTGGTGCTAAAAATGACGATACCCTCGATTTTTCTTTTTCCCTTCAGCCTCAGGCAGGAGTGTGCCTGAAACGGGGATATACATCTCGGTGTCTTTTACGGGAAAACACGCATCCCTGCCTTGGGCGTCAAATGTATCACCCTGCCCAACAATCACAGTGGCAGGAATGCCAGCTCATGCAGCAAAGAAAGAAGCAGATTGTAGCGGTCTCTCTGGAATCTCTTTGGACACTGCGACCAAGCGATGGCCAAGGACATGGGGATAGCGGAGTACCCTCGAGGCCACTTCACGACATAACTTTGAAACAAATCCCAGTGTACGGACGTCTTGTAGATCAAGATAAAAAGCGATCTCTTGCCAAAGTTCCAAGGGTAGTGTTGTCTGAGAGCCGATGCTGGGTGGTGCATCGCTAATCCCCTGAGCAAAAAACTTTTTGCGCCATACATATATTCCGTTGTGCCCATGCCAGACCTTCATAACACGCACAAAGAGTGCAGGGTCGATGCGATGACCAAGGCGAGCGAGAGCGGTGATTCCTGGCGTAGAAGGGGATTCTGCGAAGAATAATGGCAAAAATTGGAGGGCAGTGGTATGACTAAACGTCGTGTGTATGTCCTTTACCACTTTGACAACTGCACAGTGGGAAACAGAGAATGCAACTCCAAAGTAATCGCCTGGAGCATCCCGTTGCTCTAAAATTGATTTGATCAAGCGTGACACAGAGGCCTGCAGGCATCTCTCATTGTCTAAATGCTTTGCGAAGCAAACCACTGGTGTCTTCGCGAGCCCATATGAATTCCTTTCTATCCGGCATGGGAGGCTGAACCAACACGGATGGTGCATCGAATATCTGAGGAGCAAACGCAAGTCTGACAACAGAGTATGCAGCAAACCATCAGCGCATCTCTGAGTCGGTTGTGATTGGAATCGGTCTCGAATTCGTGGATTAATTGGTCAAGTTGAAGCACTGGGTGGGACATGCAGCACCCAATGATCATCTCTAACAATGAGACCCGGACCTGCTCATTTTTGGACAAGATGTCGTTGATGCCGAGCAGGTCGTTCACAGCCGCGCTAGGGCCCGTGCAAGCCAAAGATCGATGTCTCTAGGTCAGAATCGTCTACAACTGGCGCCACTGGCCTCTTGTACTTGTGCTCAGGGGGACACATTGGTGTACAAGCTAGGTTGTAGTAATGGTCGTTGCAAATGTGCTCGAGAAAGTCTTTTGGTTCCGGAAGGCATTCCAAGGAGTAAGATGGTATCCCGTTTACATCGAAGATACTGTGATCAAGGTCGATCCCATAGGTGAACGCTACATCGATGTGCCTAGCTTCTGGCTGCTGATCAAAAATGGTGAGATCGTAATCAATATCTAGGGGAAAGGATTGGCCCTCAGACTCGTCCAGCATCTCTTTTAACTCCTGTTGCTTCCTTGTGATGGCATGGGGCAACCGCATCCATTCAAGCACCTCTACGCCAAGACTCTCCGGATACGAGTCAAAACGACGATAGTAGCAGAAATACATATTTCGATAACGGTAAATATAGCGCCCACGAGTGCCCATGTCTGCAGGTGGAATTTTAACAAAATCTGGACAATGGAGAGTGTCATACTCCGTTTATAAGGGTCACGAAGTATGACATGCCTGCAGGGTGCGCTTTTGTTTGTCACTTTATAAGCGAGAAGGACGACACGATTGTTATAGGAGGGAGCGCAAAACTATTCGGTACATGCCGACTGCCGTAGTATACTTATTCTATTTTAAAGTCAGATAGTCCGAATCTCCGCTAACTCACTCAGTGCATGAATCATCTCGTAGGTATGTGTGCCGTCGTACCTGCTATAACAACTTTGAATACAAGACTGTCGGACGAGAAGTTGTTAAAAGTCGAACGAAGTGTTTTGAACTAAAAATCATGTGAGTGTAGGAATAAACAAACTGTTGGACGAGCAACAATGTTCGAAGAATGTGATATATTTGTAGTTTTGCTATAGGTAGTACTATATAATTACATGAATGTTGAGAACATATATGCTGTTTTCCGTGACAGAGTCATGAATGGTCTTATCAGATAATCAGATAATCATTGAAAATTTAATTACAACAAATAAACATGTAAATTGGCACTGGAAGCTGTGACATCGCTGCACTGGGTGGTCCTGTGCAGAGCTGTACGAAGGAACTAAGATGTGGATCTGAGGCTCTGTACAGACCTGTACAAAACATTGTAATTTGCTGATGCCTGATGGCGCTCGAGTGGAGTGTTGTGCTGTGCCGGATCTGTGATAAGAAACCGAGTTCAGTCATAAGTAAAATACGCGATTAGTAATACGTTACTCCGAAGATATTATTTTCTAGCTCTAATTACCTCGTCCAGACATACCCATACTCGCTGGAACATGACCGTGGTCTTAAATGATCCCACGTGGTGGCCGCTAATCAATTCAAATATTTTTTCCAGCTATTGGTTAGGTGTGTCGAATCAAGAATCAAGATGTGATCTTACATTCACTTGCGGTTTCGCAGTTGCCGCCACTGCCGTTATAGTATATGATTGGGGTGAGCAGGACAGCGTTCGAAAACTACTGATATTCTCATGATACCTCCAGTACTAACACTGGGGCAAGAGGTACGTCGATGTTATCGTCGAAGCGGCAACTTGCTAAGAAAGGTGTTACAGATTGAACTGATCTGGGTGAGTAACAAAGTCCCTTATCAGGAGACAGACCGGAGAATGCAATGGATTCGCGACAGAGGCAGCGATGGTCTCTCATGACTCTGTTATATTTGGTCGTTCGTACCTCATGTTGTGCTATAGCGTGATGGGCAAGTTGTGCTGAATCCCAAATGTTCTAGATACGCTATACTGCAATACCATTTTCTGTGTACGTGTCGAGGCCAACAAGTTGGCACCGTGCTAATGGCTCATCTCTGATAATCAGTACAAGTGTTCTGGGTATGTCTCGTGTGCGCTATGTTCGATTCTTCTGACGGGCGGCATACAGCAAGTATGCCATGGGTCTCACTGACAGATGCAGTGAGTATTCCCCAATCATGTCATTCCCATCCCATAAAGACACTCATGTGTAGGGGTGAGTAAAGTTCTGACAATTAAACTTGGCTTAATACAATGACTCGATAGGTGTGAGTAGGAACTTTTGGTACTAGTACGAGAATATTCATTAATTGGGTGCTTCAGGCAGTATTACGTCCCACGCACGGAATGGGGTATATGTGGTCGTATCTGTCATGTTGGGTGGTAAGTCACCCAGCTGCAATACCTGTGATATTGACTCGACTGAAATATGATACAAGTTATCATGATTTCTCGCCTACATGCCATGTATCAGGGATCTAGAATGACACTCATCTCCCTCGTCGTGATCTTTCTGGCTGATAGTATCGCCTGCGGAGTAATGGGGGCAATAGCATTCAAGGATACTGTAGCGGGTAAATTTACTCCTTGGCTTGAAAAACCCGACTCATTGGATGAACACAGAGGAGCTGATACTCTCTGGCACGTATGTGTGTGATTATGAATTTGAAGCGGACGACCAGCTCCTGTTTTCAATGATTTGGATGCTCTACACTGTTTGGGAAGTTCTCGCACTGTGTCTTTCAGTCTGGGTTGCTGTAAAACACTTCCGTGACCTCAGACGACTTGGTCCATCGACAGGATCAATCATCGGGGACTGTTTCAAAGTGCTGATACAATATCATGTACTTTATTTTGCAAGGTGAGCTTGTGATGTGAATGGCCATACTTTTGTTAAGTTTTACGCATCCTAGCTTTATTTATATCTCTTGCCTCGAGCTTGTCGTCTGGTTCTCTCCAGAGACTTCGGTGCGCCGACTTGTCGCTGGCATCTGCGTGTAACCATTGCTCATCGTGTCTGTAGAATTCAAATTCTTCTGGAGTTAAGACACTCTATGATGCTCTTCAAATTTTCATAAACGTGCAGATGTTTGTGCTGGGACCACGGCTCATCCTTAGCGTTCGACAATATCACGCAAAACTTGTGGAAAACTCCGACGCAGAAACTAGCATGGATTCGATTGTCTTCCAGGAGCATGTACATGTATCAACTAGCAGTACCGTGTAAGGACCGAGTGGTGTGCAGAAAAGAGAAATGTGGTCGAGGATCCGTTATGGTATTTGTTTATTATATGGTATTTCAAAGTATATTTGACAGTTCTAGGCAAATCTATTTCTTGTTGTATTACTCTGAGTGGGGAGTGAAGAATTACAGAACCAGAGCTTCAAGTCAGAAGGCCGGGGGTACTTCTAAAGTTACTAATGAGGCATCGACCGCGATATTCTGTTGGAGCCCCCACTAAATGGAAGCATGATGAATGAAAGAACGACTAGATGATAAATTAGAGGTGTGGCCCGGAGGAATTAAGGTACTACATCCTGAATAGATAGCCAGCAGTTTTGATACAGAGAAGCCTGTCCGCATAACATTGTGGGGATCCTCACTGAGTAGTAAAACATATCCTGTGACTATCCCTGAGTTTGGACAATATACCCTCGTACCTGAGAAATTGGTCGAGCATCTGTATTTATTTTAGCTATTTTTCAAAGTATATCTAAGACGAGATTTATGTGGACATTCCTTGTTGTAACGCTACTGGAAGTCAGTGAACCGCCCGCCCATGCTTGGACCGAACTCGGTTCCCCGACTTATCATTTGACTTGACGCTCATTTTAAAATTCTTCTCCGTAAGTGCTTAACACGATCAAGAATTCGCATTCCCTCCATCATTCTACTACAAGGTAACAGTACAAATTGCAATTGCATTACAGTAATATTGTGTTTTTGGAAAGCCTTCTCTATAATATATGCTCCATTTTCTAGTTGGACAACTGCTTGATCTTCATAATGATCGCTGTAGGAATGCCACGATTAACATCAGTCAGCACCAAATTCAAGGATAAGACGAACATTGAGGGTCAAGGTTTTGGTAAGGAATTTGCTCGGACAGACCACCGCAGCCTTCCTTGACTGTACCCATGTAGCCATACTTGGGTGTGAGCTGGCGCTCGATGAGCCAAGTACCCATCTTCGAACCAAGCTGAAAGAGACGTCAGTGTGTGCCTATCGAACGAGAACAGATACGTACCCCGGTCTTTTGGTTCAGTGACTCGACGACCAGCACGAAGGGGCTTGAGCCGATCTTCCTGAGCGTTTGTTCATCGACCAAGTTGAGCGTAGGCTTGTTGATCAAGCCGACATCCAGACCCTGCTGGCGGCAGCGCAGGACAGCGTCCCACGAGCGGTAGAGCATCTCACCGAAAGAGACAACGTATCCAGCCTTGCCGTCGACGATCGTCTCGTCCTTGCCAGGCACGAACTCGTAGCCATCACCAAAGAATTTGGTACCGTCCTCCTTGAGGATGTAAGGCACCTTCGAACGCGTAGAGAAAACGAAGCGCAAGCCACGCTCGAAAAAGACCCGCTGGATGACAGCCACCATCTGCAATGGGTCTGCAGGGAAGTACATCCACGTTTGGACATCAGAGAGACCATTGTCGGCGAAAAAGGAGTTGACGCCAAAGTGGCAGGTGTTGTCGGCCATCTATTGACAGAGTGAGTCCTGGCCTCAGATCTAACATCGATAATTCACGCACCTCATCAACACCAGAGTGCGAGAAGTGACTAAGAACATTGCAGTTGTTAAGGCGGGCCATGGTGACCTCAGAGATAACCATCTCAAGGAAAGCCGAGAACGTCGAGAAGACACCGAACTTGTTCGCGTCGAAACCGAAACCAGCAGCGGTCGAGAAGTTTCCACGTTCCATGATACCAGATGGAACAAACACCTCGGGGTGTTTTTGGTGAATAACCTTGAGACCAGTGGAACCCTCGAGATCACCTTTTTTGAAATGAGCAAAGTTCCTAAATTTATCAATGAACTCACTGTCGATCACCATGACTTTCTCGGCAGCCTCCTCCTTGCTAAGCTTGTCCAGCACCAAGTTGACAGCTTCACCGAAGACAACACGGTTTGCGCCAACCTCCTTGGTGGAACCAATGTATAAGTATGGCGCGCTCGCAGGCTTGATGTTGTTGAGGATACCCTCCGACATTGACGTGGGGTATCCCCGTGCGGTGAGGTATTTGATGGCGGACTTCACAGGGATAACATCATGCCCGTGAGTGCTACCTTCAATGTCAGCAACACCCGGTGCCATAAGACGCTTTGAGACGACTAAAACCATGATCAAAACTCAAGTTACGCTAAGAATTCGATGGACTTACCAGCAGCAGGACCATCGTAGGTGACGATGGCGGCGACAGCGGCCCATAGGGCATCGATGTCCTCACCCTGAACAGTGTAGACCTTGAGACCGTGACCCTCGAGAGTCTTACTGACGTCGTAGCCCTTCAGGTACTGAGATGGGTGTCCGGCGATAGTGACGTCATTGTCGTCGATCAACAATTTAACGTTCAAGTTCTGCGCAACCGCCAATCTGGCAGCCTCGGCATCGTTACCCTCCTGCTGGGAACCATCGGAACCCAGACAGAAGACGAACCTTCTCCTTGTTTGCCATGGCGACACCGTTCACCATGGGCCACATGTGACCAAGACGGCCGGAGGAGAACTTGACACCAGGTGTCAAACCCAGTTCGGGGTGACCAGGTAACTTTGAGTTGGCTTCGCGGTAGTGAAGGAGATGTTCAGGGGGGATGTGCCCATCGAGAGCAGAGAGCAGGTATTGGGTCGCGACACGGTGACCTTAGTATATCGTTAAGTCAAGTCCAAAAAATCATGATACATATATTCATTTACGTACCAGCTTCGTCGAAGACGATGGGGAGGTATTTCTCCGATGCCTCGAACAAACTGAGGAGAATGCACACCTCTGGAATGGTGTCATAAGCTCCACCTGATGCGAACGGTAAGCGAGAAGCAAGCTATCGGAGATCAAAGCTACAAACCAGTGTGCCCACTCACTCCCCGAGCAGCACCTGTTGCAGTGAAGAGTACGAGAGCATCACGGAGAAGCTGGATGTTGTGCAGAAGAGTTGATCTCTGTTCTGCAGTCAACTGGGGTTTGGAGGGGTCAAGCGTCAATCTTATCGCATCAAAAGAACCTTAATTGAGCAGATATTCCAAATTTACTGCGACAAGTAGACACTGACTTTCTGTACTTTTTGAGATCAATGGGGAATGCGCTCTCTGTGCCGGACATTTTGGGAGATCAGGTGCTTCGGAGGTCTAAGTAATTGTGGTGTGATGGATGGACTGATCATTCGATCCTTGCCGAGCTTTATTCAAGCCAAGCGTGAGAACTTGCATATCCACGGGCCGCGTTTAGCAGCTCTAGCTCACATGCAACGTTCGAAAGCTTTCACAAGCGAGAGCGCATTGGAGCGCACTCAGCTAGTCCCAGAGTACATGGTTACTAGGCCATTTGCTCACAGCACTGCTTCATTAGTCCTTTCGATGGGAGAACGACGCTACCGTGAGCCTGTTCGCATTTAGATTAGTGCACATCTTCCCAATCATGTGAGCGTTCGTCGCATTTTCACGGCTGTCAGTGAAAGTTCTGTGAGTCTCCTATCTGTTTTCTTGCGAGTTTCTATGGAACGAACGAATCATGATGCTTTGGGTAGACATGTACACACGTTCTTCGTATTCGGCCTGGGATGGTTACTACATGACTTCCCCCGCGCGCGGTTATCGGAGGCTACATCCCTTCCGAGAGGCTTATGATACAGGAACCCGGTGGGGGCGGTGCCCCTGACGAATGGTTGTGGTCGATCTAATTATGGTCAAGCGCAACGCCAATCTACCCGTCCTATCTGCGCTGCTAATGCCAACACTGGCTTTGAACTATGTCGACGCTGTCTAAGCAACATTAAGGTGGTGGTCTATATTAGCCTATCGCTTGCCTACATGCTGAGTGGACGAACAACCAGTGACCTGGATCCCATGATATGCACCATGCATTGATCGGACTTGCCTAAAGCTTGAATACAGTTTGGAGTCGATGCATGGATAAGACCAACACACATGACTGGATCTGATCTCACGATTGTCGAGTACGCATGATGATCATTGACATCACTAAAGTTAGAATTTCGGCATGGCCCCTCAAACTTGTGATATCTACTACAAGTACTCGTCACATGAATTCAACCTTGGACCTGTTAGGTTGTATACCTCCTTCAGCGGATGTACTGAACCTTCGAAATGCGTCGTTGAAGGGTTGTTCAAGCCGGTCTTTTGCTGGACTACACAAAGTATGGTATGTCGGACCTTTTGAGATATAATTAACAATGAGCCTGATCAGGCTTAGGTTGGCTGCGGTGCCGCACATGCGCTTCAAGTTGCAAAAAGATCTATGTCTCATGATCTATAGAACAATTGAAATCGCAGACATGAGTCGACGCGTCTCAATCTCCTATTGCTTTGATTCAGACGATAACACAAAAGCTTTCCGCCACACCTCGTTACTCCTCCCTCGCCAGCAGTACTTGGCCCTAGACCTTGACATTCACTGTGCAGCGGACACCAGCTAGTTTTGCTTCTGCACCAACACGTAAAGATGTAGCTCGACTACACCTGAAACACGGATCAAGTTCAAGGCAATTTCAAAAACAACCTTAGCTTGAGCCGAGCCGAAGATTCACCTCGCAGAAGATTTGTTTTACATCGATGAAGGTAGTTCGTCAGAACAGAAGATTTTTTGCATGGTGGAAGTACATTCTCGTCATGGAAGCATCACACACCATTATTTGATATTCAACATGTCAGGCAAATGTTCCTTGGTGTCCCATCATGAGCTGCATCGGACTCGATGATTGCCCGTAGAAGTCCCTCAGTGCGTGCAATATTGCTTCCAGAGAACTTTGTTGTCATTCGGATGGTGAAATGCAAATAAAAGCGGGAACGCAGGCACAAGAACACAGGGAAAGCTGACAAGGAGGCTGGAGAGAGGAGACGATAGGTAGATGAATCTGTTTGTGAAGTACAACAGCAAAAAGATGATCGTTTAGGGCTGTGACAGCTTGAGTAGTTATTTTGATTAAGCAGTGGGTTTAGAACAGATCTAGCCATATACCTGAGCGGTCCGTTGGCGAACCTATAATCCTGCTTCGAGTTCGAGGTTCGGATTCGACAAAAGTCAGCTTAAAATATTATTCAGATGCTGAGGGATGTGATAAGGCGATGGTACACATTACCGTACAGTTCCGAGTCCAAAGAAGAACTTGTGATCGCCACACAATCGCCACATACTATTACCTCGCACTGCTATAGCAGTTTGTTTGTTCGTGCGTTTCAAACATATGGACAGATAATATTACGTGATGTCGTGCTGCATTCATTCTAGTTCACGTTGGTATCCGCGTCCGATCAATCAGACAAGTCAGACCCAAGCTAAGCCTTGTGAGTTCTGGTCGTCTTTCGCAACCACGAATCACTCCTCATGATAGGAGAAAGACAGTTGTTCCTTAATACCATGCTATCAAATTCAGCTAGTACCACTGGTCTGCTGCCAGTAGCAACCTTCTCGAGAAACACCGCTTTTCAAACTAGCCAACAATGATGCGCGCGGTGCGCCAGTATCCAAATGGGGCTTGCTAGCCTAAAGCTGGGATCCACTTAAGACGACCATTCATACGGCGCTCACCCTCCTGTTCACGTTATATGCGCTCTCTACTCTATGATGGCCACAACTTTGAAAAGGGAACTTCGAGATATCATTCAGTACCGCAATGCCTACTTTCTTGCATTCTCAGCGACCATGGGATATGTCTGCTTTGGTTGGGACATTGGTCTCATAGGTGGCGTGATCGCACTGCCATCATTTCAACAATATTTTGGCCTGCAATCGGAATCAGCCTCTGCAAAGGCTAGCTTGAGCGCTAATATAGTTTCGGTCCTGCAAGCGGGCGGATTGTGAGTGCAGTCCAGTTTTCGGTTTACCACAATCAGACTCATATAATTAGCTTTGGGGCATTATTTTCGACTTACTTTGCAAACCGGTTTGGGAGAAAGCCGGCTTTATTAGCTTCAGCAGTCATATATATTATCGGAAGCACCATCCAGTCGATAGCTGGAGTCGGGACGTCCCCGGCTGTCGGGTTGAAAATTTTGTATTTCTCCCGTTTCCTTGGCGGCATGGGGGTGGGTTCGATATCAGCTTTGGTGCCAACCTACGTATCCGAATGTGCCCCGAGAGCCATACGCGGTCGATGCACGGGTAGCATCGAAGTTTCGGTGGGACTGGGAAATATGTTGGCTTGTGGGTGTCACTTCCAGACCTGCGACAATTTAACTGATCGATGGTATATAGTTTGGGTCAACTATAGCGTTTCTCTCAATATCTCACCGGGACAAATGCAATGGCGGTTGCCTTTCATCGCCCAGATTATACCTGGGGCACTCTGCGTGTTTTTTATGCTTTTCCAACCCGAGTCTCCCCGTTGGCTTGTGGAACGCGGCCACTACGATGAAGCAGCTACAGTCCTCGCATATATTGCAAGGAAAGATCAGGATGATGATGCCGTCGTACTGACTCTTAGCGAGATCCGCGCCGATTTCATTGGGAAGCACAGACTACCGCTGCTCACACAATTCCGCAAGATGGGAGAATCAAAAATCACATTTCTGCGTTGCATCATCGGTTCTCTCGCCACCTTCTTTCAGCAGTGGTCCGGCACGAACGCAATTAATTACTATGCTCCTGAAATATTTGCCGGCCTCGGTTTCTCATCTACTTCTTCGACGCTATTTGCTACTGGCATATATGGTGTCGTGAAATTCGTCGTCACGTGCATAACTCTTGCCTTCGTCATCGAAAGTTGGGGTAGGAAGAGGACCCTGATTTATGGTGGTCTAGCGCAGGGCTTGATGATGCTATGGATTGGCGGGTACGCTGGTGCTCACCCAAACCAGGGTGTTGTGCCAGGAACGTACGTTTCTATCGTCGCCTTATATTTATTCGGCGTCTTCTTCTGTTTAGGCTGGGGTTTTACTCCTTTTATCCTCGGCTCTGAAGTTGCCCCAGGCCATCTCCGTATGGCCTCCATGTCCCTCGCAGCTGCGACTACCTGGCTCTTCACCTACGTCATCGCCCAAATCACGCCCATCATGCTAGACCACATTACCTATGGGACCTTCCTCCTATTCGGCGTTGCTTCATTCATAATGGCAGCATGGGTATACATCTTCATACCCGAGACGAGTGGGTATCCACTGGAAGACATTAAATATCTATTTGAGGAAGATATCATTATTCGTTCGCTACAAGATGCGCCTGGGGGTAAGATCTTCCTTGGGAAGCGCCGCGCCGTCTCCGTGGAGGAGCTTAAAGCTGCCGATACCCTTCCGATGAATAGTTCCAAGGAGATTTTGGAGGAGCGCTTGGAGGAAGCATCTGCGCAGGCTCATTCCATTCGGACTTCAAATTCACGAAGGGGCGATGATCCTCTTATCATATGAACGCAGTTTATTCCAGCAGTTAAAATAAATATTCCTTGTCTACTGCTACACGTCTGTACATGTAAGATAAAAGATTAGATCGATTAGATTTTATGTATTAGTAATCACTGCAGAAACGACATTTTAACCAGATGCTAATCGGAGGGAGAGAAGCCCATATATTATATTCTTTGTGAGTTTGAGGCAGGAAAACTAACGCAGAATTGGGTCTATGTGCGACACAGCTTTTTTGGACTCATTTCTTTCTTCCTTCATACTACTACGTACTACTTACAAGTGATCTACTGCTCGACTACACTCTCATTTTGTCACTTTACATTCTCAAAGAAACATCTATAATCTTTACAAATCATTATGCCTAGAATTCACAATGATCCTAACCTAAACATTTGTCCGGACTACACTTCACTGCCTTTCACTGCTGCAATGAATCAAATTGTCAATGAAAACGTTCCAGAGGTGCAAGCCATGCAGATCCTTTGGAACATCTGAGAAGCAACCAACAACATTGGAAAGCTCTATGGCAGGAGCAACTTGACCTCGACAGGGAGCAGCACAACCATCAGTGTCTCATCCAAGAAGAGAGAGAAGACAGACTGGAGCAGGAAAATTTGGAGGAAGAGCAGTCTACTCAAAAAGAGGAGAGAAAGAAGCACAAGCATAAGTATACTCCTGTTGGAATCCAATTGATCCGATCTTCACGAGGCTGAAGGATCCGAGATAGTGACAAGGGAGAAGTGACAGAGGAACATGGTTCAAGTGCAAGTGTGTACCGACCAATGGGCAGTGCTGAATCTGCACCCTGAAATATATGTCAA